AAACACCTGGCCCCAAGCCCTGGGGGCTCTGGCACTGACCTGGTGTTGTTTGGGCAGTGGAAAGCCAGTGTGTCTTCCCGGCCAAGGAGAGGGTCAACTGCGGCTACCCTAACATTGACCAGGAGGCCTGCACCAGCCGCGGCTGCTGCTTTGACTCCAGCATACGAGGGGTGCCCTGGTGCTTCAAGCCTCTGCAGGAGGAAGGTAAGGCCCAGCATGTGACCACAGGTGCCTGGTGTCTCAAGGCCACCATCCTTCCTGGGCCCTAGTGGAGACATGAAGATCCCCAGGAAGGCCCACCTACCTGGCTTGGGCAGGACAACCAGCACTGTCACTGTGACTATCTGTGTGTAGAGGCCTCCTATCAGGGGGCCCTCTGTGGAGGGCAGCTGGTAGCTACTGGCTATTCCCATTTGTCCCCTTTTTATAAAATATAAAAGGAACCCTGTTAAAAGATGTTCTAGGTTAAGGAATCCTGTAGAAGGAACCAGATTAAAGTGACCCACAGTGAATGGGGAGATATGCAGGTGTGGAATGCTGAGCTGACTTTTGAGGCCATTTTCTGCAAACCAAGCACCCAGGGTCCCTGTCATCTGTGACTTGCTCACAGCAGCTGGTGGCCATGCTGGTGTGGTGCCCTGGTGCCTCCCTGCACCCTCATCCTGCTGCTGACTGCCCACTGGGTGTGCCTCTCCTTCCTCCTCCCTCAGTGGAGCAGGGGTCAGTGGGGGTGCAGCACAGCCCCCTCTTGCTCTGGGAGGAGCCCTGTGCCTGAGCCAAGCACAGATGACGTGAGCACAGGTGGTTTGCCATCCTGACTCCGTCTGGGCCCCACCCCACCAGGTCTTGGGAGTGCCTGTCTGCTCAGAGCCATCTGGCCTCCCAGGGGCCAGCTCACCTTCTCAGAAGGACCTGCCTTCCGGAAGCACCTTCCTGGAGTCAGAGCCAAGGGGCCAGACTTGGCTCTGTCCTGGGGCGGCAGGAGGAGGCTGAGCTCCAGCTGATGCAGCCTCTGACCAAGGATGGCGTTTGCCTCCCGTCCTGAGCACAGCCAGGGGGAGGGCCGGAGAAGGCTTGAGACCCGCCAGGGAGCTGGCCTTGCCCTGCTGGCTGTCCACCTTCCTCTGCCTGCCCTCTGGGGACTCCGCCTCTTCTTTGAGTGCTGGCCAGGGGTCCTGCCAAGGCGCACCTCACTTCTCCATTGCCCTGATGACCTGGGTCCAGTTATTTCCCCTAGTGACCCTCCATGGGATAGGCAGCTGTCCTCACAGGCTGTGGGGACACTCCGTGTTTCCCTGGAGACCCGGGGGAGGCTTCAGAGAGGCGCTGCCTTGGAGACCACCCGGCCTTGGCATCCAGGCTGGGCAGGGTGGGTGGAGATGGCACCGCTCACCCTAACGCCTGTGCTTTGTCCCCAGAATGCACGTTCTGAAGCTCTGCTCTCTGCGGCCTGGGATGGCACCTGCCTGTGGATGGTGGCTGGCGGAGGGGGCTGCTCATCACGGCTCCCCCTGCTCTGGGCAAACGCGTCAGCTGAACACTCGTGTCCAGGGTCTGCTGTCTAATGAATAAAGCTCTCATGCTCAGCATGAGGACCGTTCTTCATGCCAAGCCTCTGCCCTGTGTTCCTCTCTGCCCCCTTGCCTGGCTGTCTCCTGGCACCCATGGGTGGGGTGGGCTGGGGTAGTCAGGGGTCTCCCAGGACTGGTCTGCCCCAGGCCCTGGCAGGCAGATAGCACGAGGAGCTGCGAAGCCTTGGCTGCTGCCCACATGAAGGAGGCCAGGGGACCTTCACTTGGCTCCTTCCTCCTAAGTTCTGAAAACCATGTCACATGCAAGTTTTTAAAAAGCTGTGCCTGCCTTTCTTGGGGAAGAGAGAAGTCAGGAAGTCCCCTCACAAATGGGAGCTTCTTGTATTTGTTGGCAGGTCAAGTTTAACCCCGAGACCCTTCAGATGGCCTTCTTTCCTTTTCTCTTTCATGAACACGGGTCTGCTGTATGCACCAGTCAACGAGTGTCACTGACCTCCTGTCCCATTCAGTGTCCCGGCCTCTGCAGGGGAGGCTGTCGCCTGCCCTCCCTGGGGCAGCCTGGCTCTGCACTCACCCTGAGAGGGCCCCAAGTGTGCCCAGGGTTTGCCAACACTCGGCCCCCATGGGGACTGTCCTAAGGGGCATCTGCCCTGTCATGGTGCAAAGGCCAGATGTCACCTCTGCCCACAGGGTGGGGTTGCTTGGTGTCCTCCCCCTGGGAAGGAGACACTGGGGCCCAAGGCAGCAGCCTTCATTCCGACCCTGTGCTGGGACCCTGACCTTGCCCTCCCACTCCCTAGAAGTGCCACAGAACTGCCTTTGGCCTCTGAGGGGGGATCTCTCTTCAGGTACTTGTCCTACGGCTGGGACTGAGAGGACGATGTCAGGAAGTCCTGGTCTTAGGATACAAAACCTTCCTGTCCCTTCATAATGGTCTGTGGTGCCACCTGTCTGACCTCAAGTGACCCCCAGCACCTGGGCGTGCACCAAAGACCTGCCCTGCACTTGAGGAGGGCTGCGGCCGTGCTCGCCTGGCCATGTTGCTGCCTGGGCCCTGTCCCCCTCTCCTCACAGGTTGCCCAGCCCTGAGGCTGAGCCCGATCACAGTTGCAGGGATGTGAAGTCTCCCTGGCCCTGGGCCCAGCCTCAGGCCTCACAGCTGCTGAGACCCCTGGGCTGGGTCAGGAGCCTGAGATCTGTTGACTTCCCTCACTGACCTGCATGTGCCCTCACCCCTCGCCCTCCAGCAAGACATCTGTCATGGGAAACTGACCACCTGTGTCTCCAAAGCCCCCCTTACCTGCACCTGCTCTGCCAGGACTGCCCTCCCTGACCTGGGCTCAGGTGCCCCCTGTGCTGTGCTCTACCTGGCCTTGGTCTCTTGTGCTTCCCTCTGTTCCCCTGACAGTGACTCAGTGCCACCCAGAGCCTGCAGCTGGGCAGAGCCCTCCTCCTCCCCCACAGAGCTGCTCCACCTCTCCAGTGAGCTTGTCCCCAGCTGAGCTAGCACCATGGCTCACACAGGTTCTAGAAGTTTCTCTCACTACTCTGTGTGTG